AGACTAAACTACTACAAGAATCCCATACACTTCATGTTTGTAGAAGTCCAAAATATAAGGACTACACTTGATATTTGCGCCAACTCAAATTGCGATTCTGATTTGATTGCGATTAATTGGGCAGTCCTGTACTCTGTTACATTTACTTGAGTAGCTTTTGTAATAAAGTCTATAGGGTATACTTTCAGGTGTATTTTCTTCATATTTGTGTATTTTATGACTATATGTATTTGCTCTTACTTGATTAAAATATCCAATACACTTTATTTATTTAGCCCATTTTATAAACACAGCAGTTTAGAAAATGCTGCACAGAGTTAAAGACAGTCAGGCTAAAAAAGTAAATACTCTTGTTGAAGTATACATTAAATTAAAATTACTATAGTACAATTAGGCTATACTTGATACTTTGTTAATTACTGGTGGAACCTAACATGAATTACTGAAGTTGAATACACACTTTATTCTATACTATGCTATATACTAGTTAATTTTGAAAGTAAGGCCATCTGTTTCCCATGTTAAAAAAAAATCTATCAGGATTTACTGTGTATTCTTAGCACTATAGGTCGATCCCAGATGTACAGTAGTAAATCTGCAAATTTCAGCGGTTCATGTTAAAAACGTAAGACAAATGGTCAGGTTTTGTTTAATTATAACATACCTAATGCCAATTACTTCCTATTTTTGGTCATTAATTGGAAATAAAGGATTGGGTCTTAAGCTTGTGTTTGATCAGTACAATACATGTATGCAAATTGGATGTGATCTGGTGTAGGCTTAAGGATAATGAAGGATATTAATGAAAGATGTTACTCATGATACTTCTTGGGTTCTTTTTTAAAGACAATACAGTAAAGTGTATTTACCATGTTGACATGTTTTAGTGGTTGCAAGCCATCTTCAGAACTGTCACCGGTGTTGGTGGTGATGTGTCGAATAACTACTGTTGTTACATCAACCTGACTGACCTGGCAGGTTGCTCAGACTGACCACACCTCCCGTCGCCTGGTGTTCTTTGGAGGAGGGTGTCCCAGGTGTGTGAAAGGAGGAATGCCCCATCATCACGGTTAATGCTGTCCGTGCCTCGTTTCCTGATTTCGATGGCCTCCCGGATCTAGTGTTTGAACTTGTTCTCCAATCCAATGACCCGAGCCCCGTCCCAATCCATAATGTGGTTATTTCTTTTACAGTGGTCTGATATGGCAGATTTTAGGTTTTCCTGCTCTGCTTTGTCTTTTTGTGTTCTGGTGAGTCTCCCTGATGTTTCCTTTTCAGCACATCACCACCCACACCAGTGATATTTCTGAAGATGCCTTGCAGCTACAAGCCGAAACATGTAAACAAGGTAAATACACTTGACTGTATTGTCTGACAGGACAGAAATAAACATGAAAACAATACTAAATCAATGGCTTTTCATTGATTTAGGATTGTTTTCATGTTTATTTCTGTCCTTATATAAATGAGTGTCAAAAAAATGAATCAGTATTATTTTACACTGATTATTTTAAAGTTCTACTTAAGTATTTTTTTAAACAAATGATTTAGTAAGAACAGTACTTGAGTAACATTCCTGTCCTCTCTCCCTGTATCCGGTCTACAGCTCTGTGTTTAAGAGCACTATAAGTATGAGCATGTGCATGTCTGGAGCAGGGGCTGTTGGTAGGGCTGCTCTGGGGGGGGGAGCGAAGCACCCATCTGGGACCGAGCTGCACAGATGATGGGTGAAGAACTCCACTTCCTTCCCTTTTCTGCATCATCTATTAAGTTTTTTTCCTCTGTGTTGACAAAGGACCTTTTTGCACAGCACTCTGAAAATCGTGAATGTTTTTGGGAGAAGTTAGAGCTGCTCATATGATGAAAATCACTATTATTTGGTCCATAATTGAAATTGCCATTATTTCAATTGATTACTTCTACCTCATGCCTGGATGGAAAAGAAAGATATTATATATTAATACTGTTTTGTGCCTTCACAAAGCATATGTGTGTAGGATAGAAGTTACTTTTTTCCAAGTTTTGAGAGACAATTGTATTCTTGATTACAATATTTTGTAAATAAAGGAATTAATGAAATAAATCACTGTCTAATCTTTATTGCAAAATTAAGGGCTTATGACAAATGCTGCTTTTTAATGGCCACAATGATGTTTTAGTATTAATAATTCATAATTTTGCATTCTTCAAATTATTCAGATTGAAGCTTTTAGTACTGACTATTTAGTTGGCTACACTGAAAGGGAGCAATGAATAATGGTCTATGTAGTTTCATGGAAACCAAACCAGACCAAGTTACAGGTCAGATCTGTGGAAAGGCAACCCCGCTCACAGTCAGAATGACTGAGCTGTAAAACCACTTGTAATTAAATGATTGTAAGGTAGAGCCATTTAATGTCATATTGTGGAACATTCCAGGCCAAGCAAAGACATATCCATAGAAGCATGCATGTGACGTGACAGACCCTCCACCAGAAAATTACACAGTGCATCTTTAACATAGCAAAAGCAAAAGAAAACTGCACAAACGTTTTCAAAATGCTATGGGCCCTACCTGCATGGACAGCTGAGGGATTACACAGACAACATTCCACATTCCCCGCACTGAGGCAAAGTCAGTGAACGCAGCACATTTTGAAGTCTCTGGCAGGATGAGCAGGTCTCATCATCAGTGCTATTTCATCCCTGTTCAAATACTTCCTGTGCTAACTCTCCTCTGGGGCCGAAGAGAGGAAGAGTAAACCAAAGGAGGCCGTAAAGCAGAGCGCTGAGCTGTGGTCCCCTGGAGGAGGCTGTCAGACCTGTTAGACACACACACACTGACCAAGGATGTTCAGATGAAGTGATTTCACATTTAGACCTGATGAATTTTGGTTTCATAAAACTGCTCATATAAAATCAGTGTAATGAATTGGAGCTTTTGGTTAGGGGTCCGTTGACTACCTGTTTCTATAAATATGTCAATACTCTGCTTAGAATGTTCCACAGTATGACATTAAACAGTTCTACCTTACATTTATTCAATTGCAGGTGGTTTTATAAGTCAAAAATACACAGAAAAACAGGCATACTGACTGTGAGTGTGGTTGCCTCTCCACAGATCTGACTTGTTACTTGGTCTGGATTGGCCTCCGTGAAGATAGAAAGGTTTAATGTAGAACATTCCAGACAAAGTAATGGCATCTCCATGGACAAAAGTTTTTGACAGACCCTCCACCAGAAAAGTTTCATAATGCACCTTTAACAATTTGGGAAATATATTCAGTTGCAAAGATTTTGTTCTGAATTATTGATTGCATGTTTTTATATTGTGTTGATTTAAATGTAAAGCACTTTGGTCACTTTGAGTGTTGTAAAGGGCTCTATAAATAAAGTTTAACTGATTGAAGATTGCCAGTAATAAAAATCAAGCCATCAATATAGAAATTTGAGAGAAGACAGGAATACTAGTATTATCACATGCATTTTGACACGTTTGTGTAGATCTCAACTATTACATTGATACAGAACACCTGAAAGAATAGTATGTTGATTGCAAATGACATAAAATGTTTTATATATATATATATATATATATATATATATATATATATATATATATATATATATATATATATATATATATATATATATATATATATATATATATAATTTTTTCAATATAAATATTTAAAATTGTGGCCATTTGAATTGCAATTTCATTTATTGCAACAAAATCTTGGACTGCTATAATACATTTTTCTTAATAAAGAATTTACTTTTTTTCCGTTATAGTCAATTAAAGGCTATCATACATCACTGCCAAGTTTATTGTGACAAGTATATTGATATGCAGTTATATAAATAATGTGGCAACACCATTCTGTCATTATGTCCTCGGGCAACTTCACCCACCAGTATGAATGTATGAATGTGTGTGTGAGTTATTGGTGGTGTTTGGAGGGACCAATGTAATTGGCAGCCTCATATCCATCAGTGTACCCCAGGGCAGCTGTGGCTCCGCTGTGATATTAATCCTCTCCTCCTTATCTCCTGAGATGCTCCAGAGCCTATACCTGGTGTTGAGCTAAACAAAAACACTTATTGAGACTGAGACTTGTGGACATCTGGGTCCCGGCTGAAGTCAGGGCTGATGTCAGGGCTGGCGCTGACCCAGAGCCGGCCGCACAGAGAGCGCCTCCCGGAGGTCGACCCGTGCTGTTTCCCTTCCTGTGCCTCCGTGACATCTTCCTGCCGCGGGGAGCCTTAGGGAGCCATTGCAGGAGGCCCGCTGCTCCGAGAGAGAGGCAGAATTTGGCAGAAGACAAACTCCAATTAGTCGTAGTGGGGCAGGTAGGGGGGAGAGAGGACCCCTGCTCTGAACCAGGACAGGCCGAGAGAGCAGCTCCACACTCCCACCACTGAGTCCCACAGACTGTGATTTATGGCCCTGAGCAAATGAATCAGACTGACATCATTAAACCTCTGCTGGATCGTCCTCGTCCTCGATTACACATCAACAAGCTTCACTCCTCTTCCTCCTCTATGACCTTTGACCCTGCGCCCTGTACGTCTGTGCTGGCCATGATTTATCCCTGTGACAGACCAACAGCTGCTGGAGGCTCTGTGGGCAGAGGGTGGGCTACTATTTTCCGTGACTAATTGATAACAGACTTCAAAAAACACAATTTTGGAAAAATGACACCGCAGCGTGACGGTGGAAACAGTGAAGCAGAGCCTCATAACAAACGTCTTAGTAAGACTGAGTACAGTGAGTGGGTAGAGTGTCATGTCCATGAAGACACAACAGACATTTAACAAGATCATCGTTTCAGTCTGATGCATCGACAGCCATTTGTCAAAATGTATGAAAAGGAAGAAGAGGACAAAAGTGTAAGTAAGTGAGCCTATAGAGCTAACTAATGTTTAAAAGTTAAGGTTAACATGTAACAAGAGGATATTAAGGGAGTTTAGTGCAGGACTAGTCTGTCTAACATACATTTATCCAAAACACAAACTAATTATTTTGATAAAATAAATCTTTATTTTAAACTTTTTCAAAAAGACAAAACTCAAGCAAATGCACTGCATTTTGATCTACTTTTCAGTCAAGTATAAATATCAGTTTGTGTCCATAGTGTATCCAGCATGTGTCCACGAGCGCTAGTGTTGTGTAAGACCAGCTTTGACTTCCCTGAGAGACTGAGGAGTTACAGTTGTTCATGTCCATGATTTTAGCGTCTCGCGCGCAATGGGGCCAGTCCACGCATTTTTAAACAGTCTTTCCCGTCCTTTATCTGCAAGACACAAGATACAGACACGCACTTTAGTGCATCACATTCACTGTTCGGTTACGTGGCTTTAAACAAGTGTCTAGTGTGTAATTCCATTAGTCTAATTAAGGCGCGCAGAGGTGGAGCTAACGTGGCATGAAATGAGGGAGATGCTAATGAATGTTGATTTTCATTACATTTGTAAGAGAAAGTACTGCTCATAAAATATAAACTTCACTCACCCCTTTCCTCTGGTTACTGAGGCAGAAAGTGCAGATGGTCCGAGGCTTGGGTCCGTTTCCTCCCTCGTGCGCTCCGAGGCACGGCTGTGCGTCGGCGCCGCCGTCTCCACGCAGCAGCACGTTGGCCAGATGTGAGATGTAACTGGACGCAAGCCGCAGCGTTTCGATTTTGGAGAGTTTTCTGTCCACGGGCTCTGTGGGGATGAGAGTCCGCAGAGCCGTGAAGGCCGTGTTTACGCTCTGGGTCCGGCCGCGCTCTCTGGCGTTGGCCGCGCTTCGCTGTTTGATGACCGCAGAGTCTCCGTCCTGTTTACGGCCGGTCCTCCGGCGCTTCTCCAACCCACAGAAACTCTGCTCAGAGCTGCCGTCGCTTTCGCTGCACTTGTCCTCGTCCTCTGAGGTCATGGTGAAGTCTGAGTAGATCAAGTGCGTGGCCACTGGACGCATAATGGCGAACGCCATGGTAACAGTTCACAGCAGCCTTTAGTCCAAGTTTCAAGTCCCACGAAGAGAGTCTTGATGCTAAACCTCCATCAGTGCGGAACTGTACAATCACAAAAACACCCTCTTCAAACCTCCCCAGGTGCAGAGGAGTCCGAGTGGGGAGAACTCCGGAGGAATGGTCAGTACCGGTCAGCTGGACTCTTATAACCGCGGGGGAGGAGCCCTCACAAGCTCAAGCTGCAGCAAAATGTGCTCAGATATGTATTTGAAAGTGCCTGCTGAAGTGAAGTTTCCTGATTTGCATATAAGGCTCATTGCAGGTTGACAGAAGTATATTAGTGAAGGTTATAGACGTCTAGTCCTCAAATGTAAATCCTGTTTCTCTGAAGAACTCACACATTTCCATTGGAAATGATAAGGAAATTTACCAAGAACTTCAGTGATTTGAATATCCTCGGGAAGTCATGTTAAATGTTGTAGGGCAAAAAAACAAATTAGGGCCATGCTGTATGTTTTGTTGTGTGTTATTTCAATCCCATTAAACATGTTTTTATCTGGAACACATGGCACAGCAGAGGATTAAGACAGAAAGGGGAAACTTCATTGAGGCCCTTATCTTTTCATATTGCCCTATTGCAATGTATATATAAAATTGCAGACATAAGTAGTCCCATCTGAAGTAGTCCAAAGCTCACTTTACGAGCCTATACCTCCCTTTAACAAAAGCAAGTGGTGTGTGGAGGTGAAAGTTTTGTGGGGCTGAATGCTCAACAGATGACCTCTGGAATGACAAGGATCTGTGTGTTTGTTGGCCTGAGTTTAAAACAACAAAGAGGTGGCACATTTGTAGGTGTCCCGTCTGAAATGCTGCTCCAGTCACTGCATTCAGCTGCAACAACACACACGTCACACAAACTATTCCAAACACACCACATTTCAAACACTGCAAGCTTCAATCATCAAGCAACATTTTATTCTGGATTTACAGTACATAGCCTAGTTGGAGTATACTGAAACTTAACACTATTGGCAAAATATGCAAGGTTGGAGCATCTATTTGGTTTTTACAATGAATATTATTTTACATTTATAACATTGAATTTTTTAAACTGTATGGTATAACCCTAACCCTAACAGACCTACTAGCCCATATAACTGAATGTGTATTGTGTAGAGTTGTGCTGTTAATCAATTCTTAATTGAGATTCAGTTATTTTGAAAAGCATGTGGCTTTGAGCAGAGTTCAGACTTTTAGAGGTTTGGGTGATTTTATTATTATTTTTTTATTTCTCAGCTTTTGTTTATGTGCAAGAAATAAATGTTGGCTCTAAAAATCTACTTTATTTGTTTTTAATAAGATAAAATACAACTGAATAAAAAATTGTAACAATCAGTATGAGGGGGAAAAACTCATGATATATTTGTTGTCTTACTGGCCCATGCCACCCTTCTAAACATGCTGTTAACGTTATTATAATTGCTGTTTTTGTGTATTCAATAAACAGTGAAACAAAAATCTGACCGGTAGCAGGTGACATGTAAATCATATTGAGCTGACAAGTTTTGACAACATGAACTTGATTTATAGTATAAGCCAATTAAAAACATGTGTTGGGGCTATGGGTCTCAGATGACATATTACAATGTTGTAATATAGGCCATGGACACTGCCACTGCCTTGTTCACATGCACACCAAAATCTGATTATAATCTGATTTCTGGACCTTTTAGATGACTTAAATGACAAGTAAAATGCAAAGTCTGAAATGAGTGATCAGAGGGGCCGTGCTCAAAAAGAGATGTGATTATTTTGCTTTAAATTCAAATATTTTGCTTAAAGTAATCTTATAATTCCAAAAAACTGATATTATTTAGTTTTTGCACATATAACTGCAGCCACTGATCCAAAAATGTTTCATGTAATTATTGTTTTCATTCACATGACATTTTCCTGTTTTGGACACCCTTTTGGGGAGTTTTGGCCATTCAAAAGATGCAATATTTTAGTTTTGAACTGTTAACTGCTTTAACAATGGTCTCAATTTTTAACTTTACTTTAGCCCATATATTATTTGACTATGTAATATGTAAATAGTCCTACAGCTGGACAACTTTCAACATTTCATAAAAAATAAAATAAAATTGGGACACACTTGCATTTTAAGCCTGAAGAATAAAAAATAAAGCAAATATATCGTGCGTCAAAGAGCATTGTCACCCATGCACAAATGAAACTGCTATATCGAGGAGGGTTGACTGTCCGTGGCTGGGAGCATAGTTGGGGTCAGGGGGTGGATACAGCATTGCAAATCTGGCACACATTACACGCCGGCAGCCACTTCGAGTCTGGAGGAATTCCGGATGGAGCCGTGAGAAGCCCAACGCGACCCAAACACCTAAAGCTCCCTCCTGCTGAAGCATGGGGCTGTAATGCTGCTCACAGTGGAACAAATGGCCCCGCTCACTAACCAGAGATCATTTTTCAACCTCAATTTGGGAACAGAGACCGAGGGAGTCCTGTTTTGTAACGGGTAGTTAGTCCAAAGATCAATCTGAGGGCTTAACTAATTGGCATTTCACAATATAAGGATTTCTACTACAAAAGAGTCTGCTATTGGTTGAATTGTTTGCTGAATTGCTTAAATGTTTTGAATTTGAAATAAAATGAAAACTATAATTTGGTTCTCAATACACATTTTAAATTTATAGCTTAATTTATTAATGTTTTATGTTATATTTACAATGATTTTTGTGTGTATTTATTATTATTATTTTTGTAAGGTTATAGTATAGGAATCTCAGCAACAGGGTTAAGAGGTTCTATGGAGAATTGCAGAATAAAAATGTACAATCCGGAACCTTATCATTTTTGTCTAGGCCCGTTATCCTGCCGTACACTGTATTTATGAAAACACACACTGTCATTGTCCACTGTCCCAGAAATATTGTAATCACTTGAAAGTGAGCAGTTAAAAAACATATTTATGCTAATTAATGAAAAATAATAATAATAATATATTCAGTAATAGTAAATTCAGATTCTCATCAATAGGGAGTAAAAGTAGCAGATGGCATTGAGCTGAGGAAAAATGTTTGGAAATAGAGCAAATATTTGGTATATTGGTAGACTGAATGGCATGTGCATTTTCATCTGTGTGACTACTTTGAGTGTCTTGAAACTCTTAAAATATATTATTATTATTAAATCACAATGTATTCAATATGGTGAAAAAAGATATATGGATAAAGTCAGAAATCATGAAACCACAATTACTGGATAACAATTGCCATAAAAATGTTAGATGTAAAAATTGTAATGGTACTATTTTATTTAAAGCAATATTCATTCATTATGGTCAAAGAAATAGATGGATTATGTGGGAATTAATGAACCATAATTACTGGATAACAGCCACTTTACAAAATGTAACACAGAAAAACTTTATAATGTGATAATGTAAAATAATATTATTTGATGTTGGAGCCTATTATAACATCAACATTCATTCATTATGGCCAGAGAAATATATGGATTATGTGAGAAATATTCGCTGTACAAAACGTCACATTTTATAATGTAATATAATGTTTCTTTTTATTTACTGTTCCAATCAAAGTGTCACAGCTGCTACTGGGAAATCCATGTAAAACTCCAAATGACGAATGACACGGAGGCCCCAGACCATTTGTTAAAGCCACCACAAACACTTCCTCTTCTTAACCCTTCGCTCCCTGGAATCGACTTTAATCCCCCAAAGTCAAACCCAAATACACCACCCAGGGACGGGGGCTCCGTGTGGCAACAGGTGCGGGTTTTTTCATCTTTTCTTCATCTTTCTTTCCATCGTTTTTGCAGTGTTGCGTGTCGAAAGCCCTTTGAGGATATGGTTACTTCCAGACAGAGGGAGAGCCACAGGAAATCTTCTCACACGCGACGATTCAGAGCAGAATTTTAGAGCTGGTTTGGGCCGATGGGTCTGGACCGCCCTGGGCCCGTTCGTGTTTCCTCGATGGTCGCAGAGGGAGAGCGGTGGGCAGTCGGGAGCATGTTTTTGTGACGCTGGTGATGGAGGAAAGAGCCTGGATCTGAGATGAAATGTCCTGTGAAGTGCCCCTATACTTGATTCGGTTAATGTACAGTTCCTTCCTCTCATATTGTTGTCCAGTGATTTCAGGAGCAGGGCTGGTCCCTCAAGGTTAGCATCAATTAGAGGAACTGTATGTAGCCTGTGCTCTTACAGTTTTAAAGAAGGTACTCTCAACTGACTTTGGTTACCAATGCCTTAACTTGCATAGAGAAGACATATACAGTTTCCCTCATTCTCACTATCACATGGTTTAGGTTTAAACCAACTGGATTTCAGGATTGAAACTGGCAACCCAAATGAAATACTCATATAAGGCTCATTCTGAATTCTGATTGGATACTTGTCTTGAGAACCAAAACACCAAATTATAACACAAATCACATGACCATCGAGTCCAATGCTTTTGTAATCAAGAACAAATCAGCATTACAATTGTTAGCAGTAAAAGCGACATTTGATTGGAACATGTCTGCATGGTATTTGGGGACACAGTTAGGTCATGTTTATGGAATTTAAAATCAAAATCTGCATACAGTAATTTTAAGGAAAACCACATAATATTATAGTTCCCTACATGCCTAAAAAACCTAACCTAAAAAAAATTTATAAAATATATTGTGATGCTTTGTTGCAATGAATTACTTTGGGATATTTATAGTTAGTGCATAAATGCTATGTGCAATATTTAGGAGTGGAAAAAAAAAAAAATCTAAAAAGCTTTACAAAGTAGATGTGGTTACAACTTCAACAACAGTCCTAGTTTTGTCTTCACCCAATTCTGACAAAAAGTTCACTTTGATGATTTATATTAATGACAAAACCCATTATCTTGCTCTATTTATTTAACTTGTGCTTAATTTGGCTAATGTACAGTTCCTTCCTCTCATCTTGCTCAATGATTCATGATTTCAGGAGTACAAATGGTCTTTCAAAGCTAGCCTCAACAAAATCCACAAAATATTAGTTATTTACACGTTGAATTGTAAGGTCTTATCTAATTATAATTGAATCATGATCAAAGCATTTACAGATTGGGATAGCATAAAGTGTATGTGGTGCAGAGAGAAGAGTTAACATTTTGGAAGAATAAATGTTGTTTTTGTAATGGCAACAATTAAAGGCTGTATATTAAACAAAACTGACGGGTGAGTTTTAAGCCATGTTAGAATGGTGTTACCTCCTCAAAAACATACCTGGAGTTGTGTTTTGTTTCATTCACACGTGTTTGAGTGATCCTTTATTAGTTTGTCTACAGATCCCAAACTCAAAAAGCTCTGTTTTAGCTTGTGATACTATGAAATTGATGATGGAAATTATTTAAATGATCCTAGTGAAGATGTATGGACTTTAAAAACACAGTAGAGCACTTCCTGACAAGACATCACAAGGTGGTGGAGTGTTTTCTGTTTGAGAGAATAACTCAACCTAAATATGCAGGATTTGTGTGTTAAATATGTGTGAATAAAACAAAACACAACTTCTGTTTATATGTATTTGTTTTTATAAAAAATGTGATTAATGGTGGGAGGGAGACTATATGTTTTGTCATATTGCCCACTTACAGTCTTCAGCCTCAAATGCATGATAAAAATATGATACATTTCAATGTATCTACCTACACGATTGTTGTTAGTATATTATCCATGTGCAGTATATGAATAAAATAATTTCAGTTACACATTTGGTAGTTTAGTTTCTCAGTTTACATAGTAATCTGGCAGTTACATTCAAAAATCATAATATAGACACTTAAAGTATTCGTGCTCCTGACAATCATATTTCTGTGTGTTTGTATGCACAGTGGGCTTTGACTGTGATTCCTCTGACAGCAGGAGAAGGTAAAAGGAGGGAGCCTATAGAACAGATGGCTGTGCACTAAGTCTGTGTTATAAGAACATCTCAGTGACAGAACACAAGATGCTGCTGCTGCTGAATCTACGGCTGCTTTAAGACGTCTCTCTCATCATCTCAAGAAACTTTTAAACTTACACCTGTGCTGAAGACACAAGCACTTTTTAATTCTTTGTAGACTTGCGTTTTTTGGTTAGTCTTCTTTGGGCAATATTGCTGATTTTCACATAACAGCACAGCATGTTTGAGAAGGGGAGTGGTGATACGTAGAGTTTAACATATGGGGTATTTAGTAAGTGGAAAGATTTAAAATGACTAAATAAGTTATGATTAAATTATCTTTGGGTTTGTTCCAGTGTTTAAGTAGAGTTATGTCTCCCTCTACTGGCAAAAATATTGCTCCGCACCTTGGACATCTATTTTTTTCTTCCATGTTACGTTTATAGTTTTGGTTTGGATTATGTCCATGCAGGTATAGTTCTGAGGTAGAGGTGGGCAGTATTAACCAAGAAACTGATCTATATTTTTGGGGACTTTCCTGATGACGATATACAAACAGTATTGTGATAGTCCCTTAGAAATGTGCTAAATCATGCCTGTTGAGGTTTAGGTTCAAATATGACAAAATTTTAATGTCCTATAAAAATAAACTCTGAATGGCTTTAATAAAACATTTAAAATAGGTCATTTAATTAATTTTAGAATACAAGTAGCATTTGTTGTTGTTTGTCTTTCATTATTGGATCTCAGTCAGTACAGTGAAAATCTTAGTCGCCAGCTGGTACGGAAGAGTCAGTAAAAAAAATCTATGACGTCATTTTAGGTCCGGTGTTGCAGATCCCAAATATGTCCTAAGATCTGTTATGTTAGATTTAATGATTTTGGCTGGGATTGAGGGCATTTGTAATCGCTGATACGCAGCAAACCTGTGACAGCCTCCGAAAGAGTAGTAGTAATTTCCTCCTTCTCTTCCTTTGATCCACAGAACGTCAATGGGAGGAACCACGCTTATGTCCGGAGTGTTCTGGACAAAGATGAAAGCAGTTTAAAATACAGTCACAACAAAGAGTGACTGAGGTCCTAATTGATACATCTTATGAATAGGTGTCTATACATCACATCATATATATATATATATATATATATATATATATATATATATATATATATATATATATATATATATATATATATATATATATATATATATATATATATATATATATTATTACCATTTATTTCAAATTGTATGATTAATAGGCAGAATTAAATATGGTGTAATTGTGTATAATTTCATAAAAACATTATATTGAGCTCACAATAAATGGAGAGTTGTACAGGAAGCTGTTGAGAAATAACCATAGTTAAGCAATGGCTTAGACAAGGATATCCAGGGTGCATTTACACAATAAAGCAAAATGTGTGATTAGCCAGGATTAGACAATGTAGAATATTTTGTTGATATCTGCTCAAATTTAACATAACATAAGATAATGATTATGTTTATAGGATAGAGGCTATGTTCCTTATTTCATCAAGAGTCATTGAGAAGAATTTAAGTGTGTTACTTCTAAAGTTTAATAGAATGAGACAAGAGATATTCATGTTCCATGATCCCATCAGATCTCAGAAGCTAAGCAATGCCGGACCTGGTTACTACTTGGATTGGAGACCACTGGGAAAATCAGGTGCCACAGGGGGGCGCCAGTCACAAAAACTGTCATTGTGCCTTTAGGCCAGGCACTTCACTCACATAGCCCAGTATGAAAGTGGTGTGGCGACAACTAGCATGGCAGCCGCGCTTCAGTCAATCTGCCCCAGGGCAGCTGTAGCTACAATAGTAACTTACCACCACTGGATATGGGGTGAATAAATAATGCTCTGTATTATATATCTGTGAAAAGCGCTATATAAATAAAAAAACTTACTTACATACCATTAGTTGTAACTTACAACTAGTGGGTCCCTCTTGGCTATATAAATAATTTATCTTGTATATTTAGGCCTATATTTGTACCTTGATCGTCTCCATCAAACCCTGGACCTTCTGCTCGTCCAGCTCCGGGGGAAACGGCCTGATGAGCACGTTAAGCGGCACCTGGTGGACCTCACTCACGCTGTCCGAGTGAATGGAAGACATAACTGACGGTCTCTTGGACGAGAAAACTCTACAATAAATACGAAAGCTGTTACTAAATCCTGATAGAAACATTAGCCTTGAAAATGTGGTGTTTACTTCTTGCTTCCGGGTTTGCTGGGCGGAAAGATTACGTCCCTAGTCAGGCGGACACGCCCACACAAGTGTAAACTTTTCCCTCATTACACCTGAATTTTCTAAGATTTCTAATATTTGTGTCAAAAAGGTAAGTACATATGTTAAATTAGATATATTATTTTGATGTTGCTAAACACTGAAATGTTTTTATTATTATAAGAAACATGCCGGCCTGTTCGACAGAGTATTTTATTTCATCTATGATGCCCATGTAGCTAGCCAATTAGCATTTAGTAACCTTCAACAGCCTTAATTTTGCTAATTTTCACTACTTTGTTTTCACCGTTTTACCTGCTCAGCTTGATCATTTGACTACTGTCAATATATATGTATATTTATGTGTGTGTTTTATTTTTAACAATAAATGTCCTTTCAATTTGCAGTAAAACTTTAACAATTTTCAACAAGTGAAGTCAAGAAATGGGTGATTTTGACAAAGTAAGATTTATATGTCCACACATTATATTAAATGTATTTCTTCAAAGCCTGCACTTGATAATATAGTCTATTTTTGAAGGTGTTTCAAAGAAGACGTCTGTGGATACATTAAACATGCCTGAGCCTGGAGCATCGCACAGGTGAGGGGAAAGCTTCAAAGCAATTCAGATACTGTTGTTTTTCCAAAAGCCATTTCTATCTAATGGAACTTATAATGAGACAATTAAAATGATTTCTTGGACAGCAGAAACAGACCATTAAAATGAATTATTACAAATGCTCTGAACAACAATGACTGTGCTTTCATGTTGATTAATTGGTCACAGGGGAGTAAGTTACAACATGAAATGACTGGACTATATATAGCATGTAATCATTAACAATGGAATCACAATATCCTGTAACAAAACGCTTCCTTTTTAACTGAGGACTTGTAGCGAATGCAATTAACGTTTCACCTCATCGCCAAAACACATTGTTCAGAATTCAGGAGTGGGTTTCCTCTAATTGGTTTGGAAGACACTTCGATTTTCCACTATGACTAGGCTTTAGTGTCGTGTCCATTTAATGAATTATGCAAAATCAATAGAGATGAAAGACAGGACTTATAGATTGTATAATATTTGTACTTATATGTCACTGTACAGTTAATGTATTTCAGTATTTTTAAGAAGGATTAAAAATATTACAAACGAATTATAGCAATATAATTTTGTCTCAATTAAGCATCTCTATGGACAATAATTTCTTTGCCTAAAATGTCCCACAGTATGGCATTTATCTTGCATTTACACAATTACAGGTTTTTCAAAATAGAAAAACATGGACCGTTAGTGAGTGCTGGTTCCCCTTTCTACAGATCTAACTAGTAATTTGGCATGCTCTTTCATACTTGTCAAAGTTTAATTAAAGTTTAATATACTGTGGAACATTATTTCCAAAAAATTCAAATATCCATGGGCACAAGAAGGTTGTTTCCACCCTCCAATAGAAAAAAATACATAGTTCACCCCTAACTATGATTTAATATCATAGTCATATAATAGTGGTTATAATTGTATTCCACCACACTTTGTCTGACCCTCTGCTGTCACGGCACCACTGTGTAGTAGTCACAAAAATATCTCAATTAAATAAATTGAGTTAGTCACACAGGGAGTGGTGGGTTATGGAAGAGCAGATTTCCTTTTAATATTAGCTTCGGTCCCCATAGGATTGTCACACACAGAGCACCTGAAGAAAATTACCTGCCAGGCGTTTTGTGAGTGAGGTGCGCTATATTTATTCATGTCTTTTACACATTGACATGCTTTTAAAGTGATAATTACTGTGACGCTCTTTAGACTATATCTGTGAGGCATGAGTGAGGGGAACTGTGGTGTGTGAACATGTTATTCAGTGTCTTATTGCTGCTTATAATGACAAAATCAGGACTAAACAAGAATTAAACCAAGGCCAAACCAAGACCAAACTAAGACTAAAGAAGACTAAACTGGAACTAAACCAGAACTAAAAGGTATAAAGGCTATAGGAGTACACCAAGGATAGTTGAAGGCTTAAGAACCAGAACTATCTTTTGAAAAAGTCAATACTGTCTTATTATTATTATATTTAAGAACAGTTTTGAACAGCTAAACTTAGATTTAGCTGTTGACAACTGTTCTTATAATCAGCCAGGACCTGTTTACCTGCTTAAAAGAAAAATATTATGCAAAATTGACTTCAAACATGTCATAATTGTAGAAGAAGATTCCAACTGTCTGACACCTTCTCCAGGACTGTCTCACAGGTGTTAAAAAGGGTGTTCCCTCTGTCCTGGTGCAAAGTTGGTGCTTTTTGTATCGTGACGGCCTCTCTGATCCAACGGTGGTACTTGTTACTTTAAGTACAGATGACTCTGCAGTTATTCCAGTAAAACAGAGGTATATTTGGACTAAAATAAGTATGGGGAACAGAAAGTTTGAAGATTGATAAACCAGGACTAAACAAAGCCAGACCAGGTCTAAAATGACTAACTACATGTCATAACAGAATAGACCAGAACTGACAGCTATATGAGGATGAACTAGGGCTAAACTATGACATGAATGAACCAACGCAAACCAGGTCTAAAGCAGGTCTAAACTGGGTAGGGTATAGTATGAACCAGAATGTGATTAGGACCAGTGACTTAACTAGTACTGCTGCCTAACTGTTTCTAAACCATTACACAGTATCCAAACCCAGATCAGAAGCAAGTCTTGCCTCAGGTTTCAGAACTAGAAGTGGAATGGCTGGACTTGTTTTAATCTACCCTAGCCATTTGGACACTTGTTTTAGTAAATTTATTTTGCTCAAACTATTCCAAACATAAACATTACAAAACACCGAAGCCTCCTGCTGTTTCCACTTCACCACATGAAAGCAAAACGGAGCTATTTAAAAACCACCCTCCTTGACTTTCTCCTGAATACTGATGACAAGTTGGATGCATAAAAATGTGATTTAGAGACAGGACTTCAAACGAGCGGCATACGGACGAGGTGGACCCGCTGCCAGCCAGAGACAAGGAAGCAGATGGGTTTTTCACAAACAACACAAACATCAAGAACAGCGAGCTAAAGAGCCTGGCAGTCTCACTCGATGAAACAGTGAGGAACGAAGGCTTCTAATGAGCTGCTCTCCTGTGATGCACAATCTGAGAAGACAAACTGTTCGCTCTTAAAGGGACAGTCACACTCAAATGGTTTTAAGGATGTTAATGTTTAGTTTGTTCACATCTTTTAGTATGCTTTTGTTTGTTTTACTGTAGGTGTGAATCTGACAGTATTGGTATGGCGTTAAACTCACAATGTGCTAGAGAATGCGTTTTTTTGGGGAAGCTTGTGGTATTGTAAACTAGTTACTTTCACCAGCAGGTCTGCATGGTCTTTGACAAAAATCTTATGATCTTTCTGAAATGTATTGTGAGAAGGTTTGCGATTCATGTTTTCATAGTAGGATTCTGTTCAGACTGCTCATTTCATACATGTCCAGAAGTGTTAACATTTGACAAAAGAGATGTATTACAGGCACGTTGAAAAATAAGGGGAGAAGTGAAAAGTATGCTTAACCAAGAACACCTAATCTAAAATCCAAATTCCACAGCTATACACATTAGCTCAAAATGCTCTTTTCCACCTTGTGATGTCATGTAGTGATAGTTATCAGCTACCCTTTACCTTTAGTTCAGTGAAGATTGGCCATTCCAGGGCTGAAATCATCCAAATAATTCTAATAAAGCTGTATGAAGTTTAATAGCACATCCATTGATCTTGTAAGATGTTCCTGTATTACCACATGACATCATAAGGTGAAACAGAGTGTTTTCTGTTTGAAGAAAGATTTGTGTTTTAAACATGTGTGAATGAAACACAACTCCGGGTATGTCTTTGAAAACACCATTATAATATAGATTTGAAAGTGGCATAATATGGGTTTTTTAGAATGTACACTGTCGTCAAAATGACCATGTTACAACCCTCTGTTGTAACAATGCACTGATTTTATTGTTAAATACAAGAAACTTCTAGACCTCATGGGGCACTGAATTAGACTGTACATAAACCCAATGTTGTGTTTTGCAGCAGCCAACCAACAGAGGGCGCCAGATGTCAGGTGAAGAGTCATGTCCTACAGTGAGGTAAGGCCACAGTCTGTAACATGTTGCTTTGTTATGAAGTCAACAGGAAGGACACCAGTTGCTTTTAGCCTTATTGCATTGAAATCTGCCACACACATGCTATTACACTTATTACTGATGATTTCCCTTAACAGTGTATAGGTAAATCTGCTGTTAGATCTAAATTTACATACTGGTGGGTAGTGATTAATGAACCTTGTTGAAGTAGTGCTCTCGTCCAATCTGGAGGCTGTGTTTTTTTTCTTGAAGACACTGAGAAGATGACAGCTCCTGGGGTCACAATCTTTGAAGTGTCAGAAAAGCGCGCACTGTTTTTGAGCTTGTTTTCAATAATTTAGCTGATGTGCGGAGGCAGTGGCTGTGGGAGGGGCATTCTGTCTGCATATGTCTGAGTGATGCAAGCTTGCAACGTCCGAATCACTGTATAGTTTCTTCACTGTGAATATATAAGGACTAAACCAGGGCTAAACCAGGACTAAACCAGGACTAAACCAGGGCTAAACCAGGACTAAACCAGGACTAAAGAAGGACCGTATCTCTAAAATAAATAAGAACTAAACAACCAGGAACCACCACCACCAGGACTGGAACTTAGAAAACAGATGTCTATACCAAGAGTAAATAAGGACAAAAAAAACAGTCAAAACTAAGACTAAATCAGGACTATCTTCCTCCTGTAGTCTAAACCAGGACTGAATCAAGGTTTAGGCTAAATCAGGACTAAAGTAGAACTAAATCAAGTCTAAACCAGGACAAAAGCAAGTTTAAGACAGGATTAAACCAGGGCTAAACCAAGAATAAATCAGATCTAAACCGGGACTAACCCAGGCCTAACTCAGGTCTAAACCAGGTCTAAATCAAGTCTAAACCAGGGCTAAACCAGGGCAAAGAACTAGACCTATATTCTTGGAGGTAGACCTTGTCACTTGGCTGTCAGTGTTCTGTATGCGGCCCCTGTCTTGTACCTGCTTCCTCTCTCCTCTGCTGCTGTTGTGACACGCAGCACACCCACGGGTGATGTAATTGGATTCCACGGGTCCCCATTTTACAGTCCATTGCCGTGTAATGAAATCAGTTATTTACTTTCATCATAAAATCTGATAAGGGCCAACATCTGCCGGTAAAGTTTGACTGAGTACTGCCCATGAATGCTGATATGATGACAGATAAAGTGTGTGTAGTATAGGGCAGGTTTCATTCATCCTTTGGAATCTGATTATTTCAGTCTCACCAGAGACATTGTCAATAGTATTCTAAGGGTGAGGTAGAGTTACTTATGAAATACATCTCCAAACTGAACAATCCACAATTGACCTGATTATTTGTAGTTTGAGAGGTGGGCCATAGTATATTGACTGCACTTTGATGCTTAACTTTACAGTGTATTCACATTTGTGTAATACATAAATCTCAACCAATACAGATTTTAACTCTTTTATAAATATTTGTTCATGTGAATATTGTTTTCAGGATAACATTGCCCACTACTAATTAGGATATAGGTCCACAAACCTGTATAGAAACAAGATACAGTGTGTTAAGCATGCGAAATTTCACTTTAGTTAATCTGTGCAGACAGAGAGGATATAGTTAACAGTACGAGATAAACAAACTGAAAACATCTGCATTTAGAATTTCAATGGCCAATTTCCCCACAGAATTCTAACCTGTCCTTCACCTACATTTGACAGTTATTGTCCCTAGTGTTGAAAGCTTACTTTTTCCTAGTGTAATATCAATGATGCTTTCTTATCTTTAAACTTTAAACTCTTGTGGTAGAGACTACCACTACCTGCTTGTCTCCATGGAGTGCTTATAGCTTTGCCTGAAATGCTTCACAGTATGGCATTAAACTCGTCTATCTCCATGCAGTGTGATGTAACCTGGCCAAGTTTTTATTCATATCCATGAATATTCTCTGTGTAAAAATGCAAGTTTTTCAAGGCTTTATTGAGCAATCAAAACAAATAAAATAAATGGTAGATACATTTAATACCATACTGTGGAACACTCTAAGCAAAGCAGTATCACTGTGGAGACACGCAGGCCAGGTAGCAAACCCTTTACCAAAAATGACCAGGCTCACCTTGTAATGTAACTTAACATCACCAATAGATACACTTTTATCTGAAATATATACAAGGAAGCAGTGATGGCTATTGACTGATATTTGACTCTTTGAAAAGGAAAGATGTAATTACAGATTTATAGATTTTTTTTTTGCTGGGAACTTTTTGCTGACCTGACTTCTGCAGCACGGTAGAACAACAGTAGTGGTAATTACTCGCCCATAGTTGTGTGTAGGGGAGAGATAGTGCTCCAAGTGTCTAGTTTCAGCCTCTCCTCTGTCTCATTATACACTGCAGCTTGCTGGAGGACACTGAAGGACAAGCGATTGCATTCACGTCTTGTATATTCCCCTGAAACCAATCAAGAAAAGCCACGGAATAATAATCCTTGTCCGCTGTCATGATTCATTTTTATTTTGCCCCATATTTTTGCCCGGCATTTGAGTCATTCGGAAAAGACCGGTCCCAGCGTAAAATCAATGTTCCATTAAAATTTAACGAGGAGGAAGGCTTAATAGTGGTGGAACAGATGCCGAGGCTTTTGATAACACCCACGTCTCAGGAACTTTCATTGAAGCTGTCAGGCCCTCAGCCCAGCACAAACAAAAGGAAACCAGCGTCCTGTGGATTGTAGCGGCGAAATAACAAGTTTGTAAAAGAATAGTGAAGCTCATATAATCTATTAATCATCAACCGAGGAGAACACGATATACTGTAATACTGATTCTAAAGAGCTCAATCTTACCGGTGTCTTTTGGGGTTTAAAACTAGGACTGGCACAAAAATTCTACATATTTTTCTAAGACTGATTAAGCATGATTTTCTATTTCTATTTTGATTTCTATTTTTCCTTTTATAAAACATGAAAAGCATCTTCAATATTAATTTTCTGAATATAAACAGGACAGACTTTTAAACAGTGCCAATTATTGATGCATGTTGTAACTGAGAGAATATTGGCTGTAGACATCTCCATTATAAACTATATTTTCACAATGTTTACTTTTTTGTTATCTGTTTACTACTATGTTTTGTTCTGTACAAAATGTATGGTGAAATCAACATGCATTTGTTCTCATCTTATCCAACTCCATAGTAAAGTCTTAATCAATAAAATCAGCCATCACAATAATGTTGACTTTTTGGAGGCATAAAGTTCTGAACTAAAATGACATATGCCTATCTTTCATCTCCCAAAGTTAAAAGTGCACTGTGTAACTTTTCTAGTGGAAGGCCTGTCACCTCCCAGTCTCCTCGGAGATGTCATTGCTTTGTCTTGCGATTAAACATGTCTGTCTCCACAGAGACAAGTAGGGGACGCTGCCAAGCCAAATTACAGGTCAGATCTATGGAAAATCATTGCTTACAATAAAAATTTATGTTTTTCTAGGGATTTTTATGGCAATAAAAACACTTGTAATTGAATGTAAGATAGTCCTTGTGTCATCTCATGCTTGTTTTCATGGAGATAAGTTTCATACTGTGGAACTTTCCAGGCATGGAGACAAGCAGGTGGCAAATCTGCTCACCAGAAAAGTTACACAGTGCAGCTTTAAATCAATGCATTTTATAAGTGACAGTGCACAGAAAAGAGAGTGGACTTAAGGCTCCTTGTGCTATGGTTTTATTAACGTTATCATTGCTATTGTTGTCATCATCATTATTATTATTATTATTGTCACAGAAGAGAAATCAAACCTTCAGTCATGGCTTCAGTTTGTTCACACTCAAATGGAGAGACACAAAAAGAGGAAGAGCTGGAGAGAGAGAGAGAGAGAGAGTGGAGTGAAAATCTTAATCATTTTTCTTGAGGACCATATGGGAGGTTTCAAGCAGCCCACCATATGTTGAAGGCTTTTGTCATGGAAATTATACGTTTTTGGCACTTTTCATTGCGCAGCCGAGTCGGGCACATCAACAAAATAAAACCAGAACAGAAACTCCACAGACATGATCAGATCTTAAAGAAACACAAGAGTTTGAAGTGGATTCGATACTTAAAACAGACAACTTTGAATCAAGACACTCCCTGATTGGCATGGCGTCCCAGACTTTGTGGTATACCTGTATTATAAGTCGATTTTTTCCATTTTTAAAAAAGATAGCATGAATACAAAAGGAGCAATTATATGCCTACATGCATTGTCATATTATTGCTGTGGTATATGTACAGTATATTTACAAAATTGTCAAAGAGGAACAATGTTTTCGGACGTGAAAATAGAATTAGAGTGCGCCTCCCTTGATTTCAATGGTTTAAGCCTGATTGCGGTAATTAGTTTTAAATGATGGTTTTTGGTGCTGGAGCTTAGCCGTGGAGAGACAGGTGGTTGGAGGCTTTCATGCAGTGTTTCAGCTGGACTCAGACAGCTCTCAGTGTCAAGCATATTCGGTTAATCGATCATCGCGGTTTAGAGCTGTACGGTTTAGCAATTTTTGTGGACAAGTATTGCAATTGCATTGAGATTTGACAGATATGTTTTACAAGATTCTGCTCAGATTGCCTTAACATTTGAAAGGAGATTGAAATATGAACTGATAAATTAATACAAGAATTCCATGCATTTCAGAACATTTTTATAATTTGTAGAGGTCTAAACTACAGGTACAACAAGATTTTTCTATTAAAAAAACAGGATACTTTGTTGTTTAACAGAGGACATTCTTTTATCTAAATTATTGCAGCCTTTGCGATTTGATAAATGTGCCAACACAAATTGCGATTCTGATACGTCATATAGTATCAACTATCCCTATATGAATAATCATGTTACAATGAAAGAGTGAGGAAAAAAAAATATATATATATTCAGTCAGTCATTTAAAATCAATAATAAAGTGCTTTTTTATCTAGCTGTTCACATTAGCATTAGCATAGCATATTATCATTCAGAAAGTTGAGTGTTTTAAAGCTGACATACTCTAGAAATGGCAAAACATTAGATTATGAAATTAAGGATTTGCTTTTGTTTGATGATTATGGTGTCAGTAATCGTGAATTATCATTAAATCGTGATCTTTCTTTTCACAATAATTGCAAAGCAAAATTTTGATATCATGACATCCCTTGACTGGACCGGACAGCGCTGAAACCCCTCTATTCTGTCTGTGTTGTTCTATTGGAGAGTGTTGTGTATTATCCAATATGCAAATGGCTGACAGTGCGTTTGCCTGCTGCTGCTTGACCTTCCCCGTGGAGGTCGGCTCTATCTGCAGTCTGTCCCAATGCACCTGTTCCTCCACAGCACCAGCTCTCTGTACAACTCAACACGTGCTGGACTCTGCGCTGGGCTAGTGTAGTGTCATTCAAATTACCCCCAGAACAACAAAAGGCAAAACAAACAAACGGAGAAGAGAAAACCTCCTTTAAATTTGATTGGATGCTTCAGATTTTTGGTCTAAATCATGGTTCATGGTGGTTCTGTTATTGCTTTAGTCTTTGTGAATCACAAATGCACGTATTGTTGACTGATGCTGATACACACAGAGACACTAACACTATCGTTTTTGGAACAATTTATTGCCTGAGATTCAAAGACAAAGGCGCGACACGAGGAGGCGCTGCCGTTGGGGGAAGAGCAACATGCAGAGGATTCAGGATCTGTTTGTGATGTCTTTTATTGCCTGATATCGGCTGCAACAGAACAGCGCTGATTGTGTTACAGGTGAATTGCTGTAAGAAAAGTTATTGCCAACAAAAGTCTGCATTCATTCACTGGGCCAGTGCTTCTGTACATTGTTCCTCTTTAAAACTAAGTCCCAGGGACTCTACAGTTTTCATGCATATCAACATTTTCTTTGAAGATCAGCAGCATCTTACAAGATCAATGGATGTCCATATTAAAACAATTTAAAATAAAATAAATACATGATAATAAATAAGTAATAAATAGAAAAAAATAAATAAATGATTAGATTAATAAATAGTCAATAAATAAAGTATTTACATGATAAATAGATGGGATTTAAAGGTGAGTGAAGCTTTGAGCGACAGACTGATGGACTTTGTAACTGAGGGTGAGGAGCACAGAGCCGAGGAGGAAGAACGGGGCATTGCTATAGACTCTGTGAGTTTAACACTGAACAGCCTGTTCAACAGGCGACGGGAGCATTCACTGTTACAAGGTACTGACCTATGGCCTATGGTCCTGTAGCTTATGTAGCTTTTTGGAAAACCCACAGTTACAAAGGAACCAGCACAAAAAATAACTCTAGAAAAATCATATAGAAAAATAACATCCATTGAATTTAAACATTGGTGTGAAAAAGGGTTCTAACCTTTAAAATGATCTCCCTTTTTTGCAAATACTGTCATAGTTCACATTTTCATAAAAAGTTGGCAGTTGCAAAAGAATTCAATTCTCAGCAAATAAAAAGCAGCATAAAAATACAAGAGGTCATTTTGTCTAAAAAACAAAGAACACTGTTAGTTCTTTTTCATGTTTTTTTTTCTTTTTTCATTACTATTTGCTATAAAATATCAGGAATCTAAATATTATTACTATTGATATCAATATCATTATAGTCATTGATAAAAATTCACATGCCAGGCCTCATATATAGTGTGAGAGTGTACAGTGCGTGTACATGCGTACATGGCTGTGTCCGAGTCTATTATACTGTGAACACTAACCTACAGTCTCTATTTGGGGAAGGTTGTTGATTGTTAGTTCCTGTGGGCGATTAGCTACTGTCGTGTGCAGGGGAAAATCCAGCATCTTTTGAAAGTGTCTTTGCCATAATTGTTTCTTCACATAATCTCAGTGAAAATATTGCTTTCTAAAAAAAGGGAAGAAAAAAGGCATGGAGGGCAGAGTGAGCAGGATTATTGTGTGTTAGTTTTCTGATCCGGAGTCGTCCTCGTCTGCTGAGCCCTTGAAGCACGCTGACTCGTAGTGCTTGTTCAGGTAGGACTTGAGGGCGAAGGTCTTATTGCAGCGCTTGCATCTGTAGTGCTTGAAGGCAGAGTGCGTTTGCATGTGGGCGCGGAGGTTGGAGCGGTCGGCGAAGGCTTTCCCACAGTGGGCACAGGCGAAGGGCTTCTCTCCTGTGTGTGAGCGCATGTGGCCCTGCAGGAGCCAGGGTCTGCTGAAGGCTTTGCTGCACACGTCACACTTGTGCTTGAGGTCGTGGGTCAGGATGTGCATGGCCAGCGCGGGCATGGACACGTACACCTTCCCACATGTCGGACACTTGCGTGCCATCTTGCTGTCCAGGCTGCGGTGCGTCTGTTTGTGCCGGCTCAGGTTGGACGAAGTGGCGTAGGTTTTGCCGCACTCGTTACAGGTGTGTCTCGCCGTACCGCTGACCCTCTCCGCCACCACTTCGCTGGGACTCTCTCTGGAGCTCGCCCCCCGGTGGTCGCGATCGCCCTTCCTCCGTGAGCGCCCGTCCGAGATGAAGAAGGCATCCATGGTGTACCCCTCGGCGGGACCATCCGACTCCCCACTATAGTATCCGCTGGCTGTCATCCCGGACTGTGGGCTGTCAGGCTGCTTGAGGTCGGGGTCGCAGTACTCTTCTCCTCCGCTCACCGGGCTGTACAGAGGGTCCGACACCAGCCTGTGCTCCAGCTTCTTCTCCCCCTGGTACACAGATGGTGTGATGTAATCCTGGATGTAGCCTGCATAAAAGACACACGCGGTTAGGAGGCTGTCACTATAATTATAAACAATAATCGACTTCTACTAATAAAAATCGTTCAATACATGATAAATGGAACAACAATTTTTGGGCGTTAATTAGAGATGTCACAAAACTAGTATCGAAACTAGATACTTATGTAAGCAGGTACTGGTACTAAAAATGTCACATTCACAGGACAGAAACGAACCTTTCCTGAATAGGTCTGCATGATCTTGAGCTGTATCATAACAAGCATAAGACCACATAGACTAGAATCCGCTATGGAACATACTCGGACGACTGAGGGATTACACAGATAAAAGGCCACAAAGAAAGTACTATGATTTAATGTCATTCTATTGTCTAAATAGTGGTATCGGAATAGGCATTGAGCATCAATTCTATTCTCCAGTATCGAAATCGATCGAAATTTTAGTATCGTGACAACAACATTTATCCTGTGTCCTTTCTTTGCACACTAAGTGGGTGGGAAATTTCTGGTTATTTTTTTGCAGTATAAGATTTGAGCTATAGAAGGTTAAATTATGAACTTATGACTCATAGATATACAAATAAATTACTTAAGTGTTGTATTCTGCTATTTCTACACAGCAGGTCATAGCATAATTCTTCCCTATGGTTTGGTTTCAATATTATCATCTATATTTACTTCACCGATATATCGCACTTCATAATGTGTTATGGTGACAGGCCTCCATGCGTTTGGCCAGAGGTTTTGATGGAGAAGGACACAGTGACACGCGCTGATTACATGATTATCACGTTGGATGATTGCCCTTCATCAAACGCAGGAGGAGACATTTGCATTTCTCCACATCTAACAGGTTAGACACAATAGCGAGGAAACAGGACACGCTTAACTGCATTTATGAAGGTTGTAATTTTACAGTCGGGATGAGCAGCCGATAATAACTCATCAGAGATCTCTCCTGAGTGCCAGCTACACTGCACCAGGATCTTAAATGAAGCCGTCTTATTGATTAGAACTTCTTTGAAAGATAAGACTTTCTTCATCTCTGACACCTCAGTCCTTTGTGACTGAGCTCTGCCCTTGTTTCGTTAATGAAGATTTGAGCTGAGGCCTGAAGTCAAACAGATGAGCTGCTAATTCAAATGAACCATGCGCACTGTTTATGGGTGTGTCATGGTTCCTTCTATTGATTCTATATCAAATGCAGCACTGGCAGTTGTAAATATCTTCTGGTTTTAGCTAGTTTAAAGGGCTTGTACCTATGTTTTTTTCCATGTATTTGAGCAAAATGTCATGCCCCAGTACAGATATATTATATATTATATATATTATACGCAGCTCTTGAGATTGAAATAAGTCTGCTGTGTACTGCCTGCATCTAATTATAAAGCCTTTTATTGTTTTATAGTCAGGAAGTGCACAGTTAGCATGCTACACATTGCTAGGAAACTCCGCTCTTGTCTCGAAAGTTGTGAAAAGTGCTTTTAAGCATAAGATAAGGGAGGAATAACTTAAAACCACTGCAAACCGTTTAAAATTAAGTAGTTCTATTTTTCACATTTTAAGACAGTAAAAAACAGATACAGCAGTTTTAACACAACACAATGATATCTGTGTGATTTTAATGTCTCGTAATTTGAGGGAGGTCTATTTTTGTTAGAATCATTTGACTTTTGAGCAGTACAACAAAAGGGAGCAAAAAGGATTCGACAGTGGCATTTACACAGTACTGAATGAGAATTGGCAAAATGAAAGTTTTAGAGAAATTCTTTCCTCAAATGAATGGCTCACTGCATAACGCTACAAAAAAGCTCAACTAAGCTCTGAGCGCAGCATGCAGTGGAAATTAGGTATTGACTGTTTTTTAATGAAATTCAAAGTTTTCATCTGATCAATAGACTATCATCTGTAAAATAGTGCAGCTGCTAGAACAGTGGGCTCAAGAGAAGGGAAATAACATAACATGAAAGCAGATCACACACAGTAGCAGTGCACCTATAGGCATATCATGATAATTACTATATAGACTTATTGTTCTATATATGATCAATGAAACAATACTTTTTGGAGGGAAATATTTATCATGGGTATTTTTTTGTACCAGTGGAGAACTTAAGTTATTTTTCTGTACGATAATAAGATTTGAGCTTAAAAAGGTTGGATAAATAACAAGCTGAACAACAAATGGCAAAAGAAATAATACTTTATACTTGTAGTATTGCTATAAACATATATAATATTTAATCTGATATTAGTCCTCTTTTAATCAGCAGAGACAAAAAAGTGACATTTATTCTCCAGACATTGCATTAAAATGGTATGAATGCTAGCATGAATTGCTGCTATCCATAGGAGGTGCTGACAACTGCACAGCTCTTTGTTGTAATGACATGTATGTTTATGCCAGCTCCCATTGGACAATGCAGTTTTCTAATGTGGAAGATAGCAGGCGTGTTTCTTTTATTAAGTTGTTTTAGATGAATATTGCAATTTAACATAATGATCCACAGGTGTCATAGATTAAAACTATATAGCAGGCACAAGCACAGTAAACTGAAAGAAACTAAAATAATTCAAATATGGATCACTTGTGCCTCCATAGTCTCTGTACAAACCTGAGGGAAACATTGATATAGAGTAGGTTTTTTGGGATTCTGCTTTAAGGCTATTGTGTCAGTGGCAAAAATCAATATTATTATTTACCGTAAATAGTTTCTTCTGCAATATATGGCACTTGAAAATGTTTACAGTGCATTGAGTGTATAGTTGTGGGGCTGGATCGGGCTCTCTCCCATTGTTTGTGCAGAGGGTCACCTGTCTAAAGACGCTCAAGTGGCCTCAAGAAGCAGCCCATTAATTCAGCTCAAGTGCTCCTCCTGAGCCTCCTGAGGGCTCTGTTCACACAGCACTTTGTCACAGACACGACCGTGACATCTGCAGACAGAGACACGCTGCATGGCTCTACACTGCACTGAGTCTAACCACCAGGCAAACGGTCAATGCCACAGCACAGGGCCACCATATTGGATGTGATCATATGCTATTTATTAGAACTGCATGATTGTGAAGGGGAAATAGATCATATTTTTTAAAGAGGGCTTTAAGATGAATTGCAGTTGAATTAAAATTGCGATTTGAATTAACACACATAACAAAGGCTTCACGTACAATAATTTCCTCCACAGACTACAAAATATCTTATTCTGCATAAAAACTGCTAACCCTGTAGTTTACATCTGTACAAACATGTTCCAAAATGTTCTTGTATTAGTTTGTCAGTTTGTATTTCACTCTTTTTGTTAATTCTTCTGGACGTGTTTCAGATGTGATGTTTGAACAGAATGCTATTATTAAAACATAAAACATACATCTAATCTCAATTTCAATGCTTGTCATAAAAAATCATTTGTCCCTATTTTTTAGTATTGCGTTTAGACTTGTAGCATTAACATTTGAAAGAAGAAATATGAACTGATAACGAAAGAAGAATCAAATGCATTTCAGTGCATTCAGTGAGTAAAGGTCTAAGCTGCAAGGAAAGACTTGAATCATAATGAACAACTTTATTTATAAAAATGATTCAGGGTTAGTAGGGGGTTAGGCAGGGTTAGTTAGTAAGCCTGAATCATTCTTATAAAACTGTTCATTACAAATTAGGTCATGCTTTATTGAGGCTGATGATGTAGCTGCTACAACTTGTGTCTGAATATTTTGTTGCTGTTGTTGACACTGTTTTACCTAAAATCTGCAGCCTCTTTGATTTGCCAATTGCACCAGTTCAGATTGCACTTTTAATGTATTTGTAGACACTGTGCAGTTGTGATATTCCCCTCACACCTTTATTATAGTCTATAGAAACAGAATGTAAAATGTAATGTGAAATACAAGCTTGTTTTATATCACAACAGAGGCTTGTACATGCACACAGCACACGGCCGTTTACTGCGTTTCAATTAGCCAAGGTCAGACAAGAGCTCATCATTTAGGGCTAACGCTGTATCAGCCTTTACAGCTCATAGGCTCAGCTCTGTAATGCAAAGCAAGCATGTAATTAATGGAGCCTCTCAGCCACCCCTCTTTGTTGTTCGACAGACACTCAAGTCAAATGTCTGCACAAAGAGGAGAGAAACGCGTCCTGCCCACAGAACTGCTGACGCTGGGCTTTCGGCTGCTCGCACAATCCGCGCTATTTTACTGTTTTTCACTCTGCATCGGCTCAAATCATCCGCTCAAAAAGACTTACATTTATAGCAAGAGCAACAGTGTGTTTGTTGACATAAAGCTGGCCAATGAGGTGTCAGTAAAGATCCAGAAATAAGGCGATTTTTTTGTAGTTATAACTGAAATATTTAATTCATAGGATTAATTTATGTTATTGCAAAAGATTGTACTTATGTTTAGTGTTTGTTAAACTGATGGAAGAGGTGCCAAATATCCAAAAACAATTATCATTTTTATAGCTATAACCAAAATATAAAATGTGTTGCATTTATTAGAATTTATTGCAAAAGTGTCCAGTGTTTGTTTACTATATCTGACCAATGAGGAGCAAGTACACATCCAAAACAAGAACATTTTTATTGCTATGGATAAAATATAAAAATTCAAAAACAAGGACCATTTGTATAGCTATTCACGGGGTTTAAAAATTCCTTCCCAATATGAAGGATTTTGTGAGGACCTTTAGAAGATGTAAACTGCTTAGTTCTGATAAAGGGCAATTGCTACAGCTTGTTGAAATTCTGAAAGAGCTACAATATTTAATTTGTTGAAATTTACTGCAAAAGTGTCCAGTGTTTGTTTACATAAATCTGACCAATGAGGAGCGAGTACACATCCAAAACAAGGACATTTTTATTGCTATGGTTAAAATATAAAATGTTTTGAATTAATTTTATTTTATTGCAAAAGTGTTTTACTTATGTTTGGTGTCTATTTACATGATTCTAATTATGCATTGTTAGTAAACAGAAACAAAACACAATTGCCATAGCTAAAATATTATTTAATGCAAAAATGTCCAACGTTTGTTTACATAAATCTGATTGGATGTTGCCAATAAACATTCAAACACAAACACAAGCTACATTTTTTACCAGTCTAAAGATAAAAAAAAAAAAAAAAACTATACTGAAATATATTTTATAATTATGTATTCTGACCACATGTTGTTTGACCTACACATTTGAAAGCAAGTGAAAACATTATAATCCTTTCTAATCCCGATGCATCTAAATCTCAGTGGCCCTTTTGTCAGTGTTGACTTTGTTAGTTGAATAACAGGTGGCAGAGTCACAAGCTCTAGCCTTACTCTGTGCCAACAATCCCACATCATAAAAATCACAAAAAGCACTCACATTTTGGCCTTAAAAATGCTACAAAATGGATGACAGTTTTAGTGGAGGATGCCCTGAACTAGCTTGGACTGCGTGGACACCAGAGTACAGCTATGTTAGTTCTTCATGTTTACTGTACAAGCTCCATCACGTGATCTGCTTCTCTTTGCTTCTCTAGCATTTTTACATCCTTTTTCCCCCCCCTTTGCTTTCTCCTCATTCCTCCTGGCGCTACCTTATACAGTGCTCTGATATCTTATGTGGCGGCGGTGGGTTCTTGAAACTCTAAGCTAGTTTTCAAATGCCCGGAAGGACGAGAAAGATGTAGCATAGAGAGATGGGGGTGGGGTGACTGTGCATGGATGGGGAGAGGGGGGCACGCAAGGGGAGGATCGGACCATGATGGGAACCCAAGGACAAAAACAGCTAAGGACAAATGCATATCCGATACTGATCTGCTTTCTGAGGTTTTTTTTTTGTACAGTCTATGTAATGGGCCGCGCGTGTGGCTAGCATCCACAGGTTTAAAGCAGCTACCAGATACGTCACCAAAGCTTCTACCGATTAGACACACATTTTGTTCCCTATTTACATAAGCTAATCCGCCACTGTGACCTGAATTGTGCCGTCCTTCACTCTATAGTCAAAAAACAAAAGTCTACTACGGGCACACGGCGATGGGGGTTGGGTGAGCGTGGAGGATTATTTAGGGATATTGACGCACATATCATCCACAAGCATGTAAGGAAGTCCTGTACACTATTTGAGTAGCAGAGCAGAGCCTATCTAATGTAGAAACAAAAGAGAAAGCTACTCTAAGTGGAGAAATGTAGGACATGTCTACAAGGCAAGCACATATTTAAGTAGAGGGCTGCAGAGGGGCAGACTGGAGGCATGTAAACTCACCATTCTCACTGAGACGGACGCCCAGAGTAGTCACAGGGTCCGAGATGGAGCGCGTGAAAGTGAAGTCGTCCAGAGGCTGCTGCTGCTGCTGGTGATGGTGGTGGTGGTTAGACGAGGGGACGTTGGATGAAGAGAAATCATCAAGCTTGATCTTCTTGACCAAAAATGAGCGGGGCATGTTTCAGAGGATGGGAGCACTTAGTGGAGAAAAACACATGAGAGAAAGAGATGCTCGGACGGTAATCCTTTTGGTGAATGTGAAGACGTGGCCAAAAGCACGGGATGGAAAATAAAATGTAAATCAGAGAAGAACAAGGCTGGCGACAATGCTGTGTGATGCTCTCTGGCTCCCCCAGCTTCCCCCAAAACATAAAAAAATAAAAAATAAAAGCGATCCTGTTCAGCACTGGATAGCTCCTGTGATGCAGTAGGCTTAAGGGACCAGTGAGGAAGAGAAGAGATGGAGACAGAGCGGAGGAGAGAGGAGGGAGAGAGACTGTCAGACTAGCTGAGATCAGCAATCACGCCAGCCTTTATATGGGGCACAGGCAGTGGAAGATCAGGTGGTGCTGCGAAATGGAGCTGCTTAGCTTTAATCCATCAAATGTCCCCAGGGACACACATCAAATTACTACTGAACCGTCTGTGCATTCACACACAGACAGAGCAGCAGACCCCCCCCCCCCCCCCCCCCCCCCGCCCCCCCGCTACTGGAGGAGGAGAGAGGAGAGGAGGAGAGAGCAGAGACAATGGAGATGTGGATGAGAGCACTCGCTGTCCTCTCCCCCATTGTTTTCAGATGAAGTGGCACAGTTTATGTTTGCCTTGTAGCGGCCCTGCCTCCTCTGTCAGCTCTGTTACCTCAAAGCGCCTCGTGTCACTGTTGTTACGGCTCTTCTGTTATAACTGTGCTGTTACAGTATTGTACAGGGCTCATACACTAGTGTGTGAGTGTGTGGAGCTGGACTGTAGATTCCAGTAGAGCTATCTCTCCTCTCTCTAGCTCTCTTTCACACAGTCTCTCTATCTCCCTCTCTTACTTCCTCTCTTTCACTCTCTTTTTATCTCTGTCTCTCTCTTTCAATCTCCCCCCATCCTCTCTCTCTCTTTCTATCTTTCTTTCTCCCTCTCTCCATTACCGCTGCACAGATGTGTGTTCTGCCATGCGTGGCACTGAATTATCTGATTAATTAATTACATCTTTTTTGATTAGGGTGAAATCTCAAATTAGATTTGTGCTCAGTAAATTGGCCAGATATTCTCTGGGCTGGTTTGTATTTATGTGAGTTCATCAGCTCATTTTGTGAATTTTATGCTACATTATACAAGCTGTAATTCATAAGTTCAGGATTTGTTTCGCCCTTCAGCGTAAATCAAAGTGAAATATTTAAAAAAAATAATTAGATTGCAACTGCTGAACAGCACGGTGCACAAGCACCTGTTTGATGCACTGTTAAAGGGAAACACTTGAACCAACCGTGCTAATAGCAAATGAAAAATAGCGAGTTAAGGTAATTGAGTTAATTACAAAATTAAACAAAACAAAACTGCACCTAATGAATGAGAAAATATATAAAAATGAGATGTTTCCTTTACCACTTGTAGAAATGACATTCTTTAAATTGGACATACTGTGTGTAAAATGATGGACTTATATAATCTTTTAACCATATTATAATAATGTTCCCTCATCGACTTACACTTAGCTGTATTTCTTGATTCTTGATTTTTTAATAATCCTGCATTGTCCTATATTGCCTCTCAGTTCAGCAGTTTTGAACAGGAAGTCAAGGAACCAGTTTCTATTATTTAGCCATTTTAAATCAATACTGCGGTTTACAATGAGCAATGTGAATTAAGTAATATTAAATTTCACACATTTACCAATTATTATATTACCAACTCTGAAGTTATAACTTAGAAGATTCCCTACTGCTTGCAGAAATTCCATGTTATTTTAAGATTTAGTAATTTCATATGTCTAAGTCTTTCCTGTTGGTCATAATGAAAAAGCGGTTGAACCTGGTTAAAAGTGCCATAGATTCATGTTGACATTTAGGGGTGCCCTCTCTCTCTACTCATGGCCTTATATCAAACCTCCTCCCTGTACAGTACATGACCCGGGCGCACACATGTGGCGGCTCTCGCACGGATGCCCTGTTAAATCAGAGCCCTGGATTTATCATGCCCATGTGATTGTACATTACAAGACAAGTTCATGTTGCTGTCACCAGGGCCGCGCTCATGAGCAGAGGCAAGGACACAGAAAGGTCAAAGGAGGAGTCATTGTCACAAAGAGCAGCTTCAGCCATTTTACCTGAATTATATGTTCACTATTCCGTTTATGTGACTGTAATATCTGCATTGGAGCTTTCAGATTCTAGACGATGTGATGGCATGTTCTCAGATGAGAGGCAGGAACCAGCAGGGTTGGGGGACATGGACAAAAATGTATATCTTATTTTCTTTTGTTTTTAGTAGTCCGATGACAATATTGAGACAATATTATGGCAATCCTTCAGAAATGTGCTATTAATGTTTTTGTAAATGACTTGGTTGAGATTCAGAAAAAGTTAATTTAATCTTTGTGGGGTGTATTGAATTTGCATGTAATCTGAGAGGAATCAAAATAGTTTAGTTATAACATTCTCATGGGTTACTTAAAGAACATTTAATTTGATAAAACATTTTTTTTTTTTTTTTTTTTTATCTGCAGACTCGACAATAGACCAAAATTCAGTATAAAGTTCACAATAAACAAAAACAATACAAACCTTTTTAACATGACTTCACAAATTCAAACACATTCACAAAGCTAAAACAAAATTAGCTCATTTAGTTAAAGAGAATAATCAGCTCTCATCATGGTTCATCTCAGTTCTCAGACACACGAGACAGTCCAGTTGTAGATTTAAGTACCTATAATAATACATTTTAAATAAAAAAATGAACAAAATGCAACAGGTCTTCTACAGGTGACCAATGACTTAAGTATCTACGATTGACATTTCTCATTCTCCCATATAAGCAGCTGTTCTCACATCCTCTGCCCCCCTCTCTCCCTCTCTCCCCCTCTCTCCCTACGGGCCGGTCCACTTGTAGACCCCCAAAACTCCGACATGTGGTCACTGCCTCGGGACGTTACCATGGAGACCCCCCCCCAAGCTGGAGAGGGGGATGGGGGAGTAGGGTTAAGGGGGAGGGGGGAGGCTGTGGTCAGATGGGGGAGCAGGCCTAGCACAGTCAACCCCATTACCGTCCTGTATGGGCCCCAAGGCAATGGAGATGACCTGAGATTGAATGGAGCAATCCAGTTGATTTGTTCCTTTACTCGGCCCCATAAGAAGCACCGCTCACTGTTTCCCAGCAGGCTTTATTACCTCTATTTACACTTATGAAGTCCACTGCCTGCTGCAAATAAGGACTACTTTAGAAATCGACTGTTCAGTGATAAATAAAGGTAGCTTGATCATTTTTACCCTTTTTAATTGCTGTTATAGTTCATATTGTAATACAATTTTAACTGCTCTCCAATGCTAAGATCACAGTTTTTTTAGCTACTGTACTTTCCAAATAATTTCCCTCGTGGGGGATTTATAAAGTTTCTCAATCTATTTTTTAAAGCTTTAGCCAGGGACTTTTTATTACAATTTAACCACGATCTTTGAGCTAAATCCCCTTTTCACTGCAGTGGCTTTCATTAGAGACTTAGTGATGATTAGATTAGTTACTGATAGTGTAATTAATGGATTAGACATTGGGATAGGCAATATTGTTTTGTTTCTTCCATTAATTTCATTTATTTATCCTCAAAGGATCATTGAGGGCAACCTTTATTTGCACTGATGTCAAGAAAAGAGAAATTTTGACTAGAATAATACAATCAAATAATAATAAAATACAATCAATTAAAAAAATTTTGTTTTCATCAATCAAAGGCTTAAATTGTCCCCAGGTAGGCATTTAACTCAATAGCATTACAGGTTATTCCACGCAGCTGCAACTCTTAGCACTAACTCATAAACATTCCCTGCAGATATGATGCTAACTGTAGGCACTGCTCTGTCTGAGACTTGTTAGCCTTTAATCTGAGCTTTATTTCAGCACAATCTGCTTTAACTGGAACTACAACAGGTGATCGGATTTGTACTGTTAAACAAGTCCCTCTTAAATAACATCACAAACACAACAATTTCATGATTTTACAGTTATTCTCATCTTTTTGTTACAAATCAAACCCCTAAACAGGACTATGAACACTCGTATTGATCACAGGCTCCTAAATCCATTTTGCGTTTTCAGACAAACTTAACTTTTTGCCAGTGTTTCCTTGCTTGCCCCCCAAACATGATGTCACACAAGGTTCAAACTTTAAAAGGACTGAAAATAGAAACTGCTAAGACATCGCTAAAAAGATGACATTGCATTTTTATTTCATTTTTATGTCCAATCTGGTATTTTGCTCTTCAAAATAACCATTCTACATTATTATCTTTCAATATGTCAGATTTGAATCATTTGACCACTTGCTATAGTTGTTTATCACAGTCAGTCAAATCTGTGTTGTGTCCTTAAATTTTTGTGTGTGTTGTTGTGGACATTAGGAGCTGGTGCAGAGAGAGGAGTCCATTAGCCATCTATAATTCACCTCTTTCTTTCTTTATGGGTCACTTCAACAAAGCTTTTGAGCGGCAGGTCTAGAAAGCACAGGCCCCTTAAAAGCTAATAGACATCTGCTGTTGTAAACAAAAATACATATGACAAAAATGCAATTAAACGAGAAGAAAAATACAAAAATACAGGTAGTAGTGAGTACATACTGTATGTTATTAACACCAAAAAATTTACCTAAATTGCAGAGACAGTTTACGTGCAAGAAAGGCATTTTTCTGGCAGTTTAAACCTTAATTTGAAAGGGCCTATATTACGCCATTTCTGATGTATGTTATAAAGATTCCTCATTAAAAACATTCCCAAAGCTGTGTTTTGTTTCATTTACACGAAACACAAACCTCTACATACAAAGTAAGACATATGTGCATATAAATAAGTAGAGAAAAAAACTATCTATTCATCCATCTATCTGTTTATATGAAATGATTAGTGTAACCTGTCATATGCACTTTAAGCTGATAGCATCTTTTATGATAATATCGTTTATGAATACATGGCCACATT